AGTGCAACATTTTTGCCAATATAAACATATTTCGTAAAAACTGCCTAAGCTAAATAACTTGAAATATTTTGGAACGACAGCTACATTAGTACTAAGTATTCCACTAAACTTCACGCAGTAGCAATATGTAGTAAGCTGTTATGTACAGTGACGTTCTGCTTTTATTCGGCAAACTGGACATATCAATACCGACTAAAACATAATTTAACTGTCGTTTAATGCTGCCAACTTCTGTGGCTACCAACAACTGTTAGCTAACGACAGAATAGCAACTGTTATTCTTGTAATTTAGGGCAGTTCTTTGTAAATCCACCACTCTGTCTGAAGCATTCGGAGGGAAGCACACTTCTATAACTTCCTTCCCGCTGTTATTGACTGTACGTTAGCAGAATATGAAGTTTAAAAACGTTAATAACCACAGACCCTCCCTGTACGTAATTCTGAGGAACTTCGATCCACCACTCAGTGTGCTACATGTTGTGCCCTTTTCATCCTTCATAATATTAGGAAACTCTGTGGTTCCTTACTGATTCTTTCTCCTTGTATTCTACGTATTTACGTGCATCCAACGTTCTGCTTTTATAAGGCGAAACGAAGTTTCAAACCCATATATAACCATGGGCATACAATACTAAAAATATGCCAAATGTGTTGGGGCACGTGACAGCGTAGTTGTTTGAGGCACTATGCTACAACCCGGAAAGTGGCGGTTCGATTTCCGAGGAGGTCACTGAATTTTTCAATTGACCTAAACCTTGCAGCCGCATTAAGAACATGGGGTCGACTCAGCCTCTAACAGAAATGAATACCAAGAATCTTCCCGGAAGTAAAGGGCGGCCGGCGCGTAAGGCCGACAAACCTCATCGCCATCTGTTAGCCGACTGTCTACAGTAAATGTAGGAGCCTCGACGTCTCACAACCCTATGGGCCTCCACAGCGTGTTTCAGGGAGAGCATTACCATTTTATCTGCAAAATCTGTGATAAAAAACTTGACTCGTATGCAATTTGTTTAGTTCCGAACAGAACACCATAAGCAGAATAATAAACAGCTTTGTGGTGTTTGATCTGTCCATGATTCATTCAGTGGAGTGAGGTTTGCCAGTTAGCCAAAAAAAAAAACAATCCCGCATTGTGGGAAATTTAATATTCATGAGGTGATTCGTGTATATTTAATTAACGCGCGACTTTCTGCTTCTCTGTGAGGTATACTAACATAGATTGGCTGGTTCAGATTGTTGTGGAAATTTAAGACACCTGTAACTGATTAACATACACTGTCCCCTTAAAGCAGAATTCATGTGCAACAACTTTTCTTCTCCGTAATTGAAAGCAGATAAGGCTTTACAGCTGACGAGGGCTCGCGATTTCACATGATTCAACCTGATGAACTTCCACCAATAAGAAGAAGCTACAAAAACTATGTGCACTTGATTATCAATGGGATTTCCTTTACAAAAACAATACTGGTCAGATATTGTACTTTAGTTAAGATTCATTACCTTTGCATTATATTCCACATTAGATATAGTGGAATAACTGTGTACGTCACTCACGCGCATTGTACAGTACGTATACAGGCCCGTGTCATACTGTTAACGGAATTGATTCTTGTTCTGCCAAATGTGAGAATTTCGCGGCGGCGACTATGAAGATTACTGCCTTATGGCATGCAGTAACACGTAAGTTAGCTGTTTACCGACGTTTCTCCGAAGTATCGACAAATTTCTATCACTCTTCTCCTCCGGAAACTGAGGCAGCACGTTCCTCTAACCCGACCGAAAACGTCTACCAGACAAACCCAGAAGACAATAACTTTCTGTACTTAAGTAATTTTTCTCTTCTCATAATGCGCCGATGGAAGACTGGACAAAACGTGGAGGCATGTGGAGAGGAGCGAGTTACTTTACAATGCTATCCCACCATTTACCTGGAAGAAGTGATAAAATTCACGAAAACCTGAATGAGGATGTCAGATTTGAGGTTTTCACGGCGGTGACTGAAGAAAGCAGTTTTCTGGGATATGGCGCCGTGTAGATATTGTGTTAACCGACGTTTCGAAGGAACGTACTTGCTCACGCTGTTCTTCGTTTGCGAATTTTCTTCTTTTCTCTTCTACCATCAAGGTGGAGGCGATACTTTCCTCCGAAACGTCGGTTAACACAATATCTACACGGAGCCATATACTAGAAGACTGCTTTCTGAATGAGGATAGTCGATCTCTGGACCAAGTATCAGAATCCTCGACCTCCACGACTACAAAGAAGTAATTCAGTTTACAGCCCAGTGATGACATGTATACAGGTGCAATTGTGTTCAAATGCACAGCCCACAGCTTACTATAAACAACCTGTATAAGTGCATGCTCCCTGCCTAAATGTTTTTGTCGTTCCTTTCAATATTATCTGTAACATACGGCAGGAACCGATTTTCCACAGTCTTCTCCTGGGTAAATTGCCCCTTGAGTTCGTTGTTGCTAAGTAAATCAATGCAGCCATTAAACTGCTTAGCAAACCGTGCGATGCTTCCGACTATTAATTATTCGATACCTGACTACAGTAGCTGCTTAGGAGACAAACCAAGGCCGTTAAAAGGAAGCGCTCTCCGCGTGAAATATAAACAGCAGTTAGTAAACAGTCGAAAGCACGTGGAAGCAGACAGCTAGGCCCGAAAGAGAGCGGCTAATTACAGCAAGGGCGACACATGGCGCAAATAACTGACCCTACCACGAAGTGAAGCCAGACAGGACATCATTAGTCGCGCTGACGCGAAATTGTGTCTCGCGTAGATAACACGTGACAAGTTATAAATCCTTGTCACAGCAACAACTTGGGAATCAGAGCCCCGAAATGTGCTTTGGTGTTGCTATTCTTATAATAAGTCCGGTATAGTAGACAGTACTCCGGCTTTGTTTGCCGGAGTTTCCGGGTTCAAGGCTCGGTTGGATACCAGCTGTCCTGACTGATATTTCCGGATGAGGTTTCCTCAATTTCTGAAACTGGGGTAGAACCTCAAGTAGGCCACGATAATTTCCTTCGGTTTCACTTGAAACTCATTATCCATTAACCAACTATTCCAATATGCATAATATGAGTCACTGACGGTGTCCCTAAGTATACCACAAATAGGGTAAATATATAAATAAATAAACCATGTAATCTTAAAAGACAAGACATCTGTTTAAAAACAAGCTCTGCTTACTCTGTACGCGCTAGATTGCCGTCTGATAGATCTTTCACACCTGATCTATTATTGTTGTTAATCGAGAACACAAGTATTAAGATGCATGAATCCACACATTCTTAACTAAGGGAGTATACAGAAGTGAGTGGTAGCTTCATGTTCCGGCCCATTTATTCCGAGAAACGAGCCTCAAATAACCGTTGGAGGGAGGCTGGACAGATCTGTGGGTGCGGCAGCGGAAGTAAATGCTCTCTCCCTCCTGGGAATCCTGCCTCGATCGTTCAGCCACTCACTATCTTACCCTCGGTGTTGTTATTATTATTTGTCAGCCTTTCCTCAAGCACCGATATTAACAGTTACTTCGCTGCAGGTGAGGCTTCAGCGCCCCTTCAGCAAGACGGGTAGGAGAGGCTGTAGAACATGCATCCAACCCCTTACAGCCGCTGCGCATGTACATACATACAGCTATATATAACACTGATTGCTTATATAACATATGGATGACCTTTTGCACAAGATTTTTAACTCACAATACTTCCATGTATTTATCAGTACTGTCACTGATTCTTAAAAATGCTTTGTGCGGAAGTGGAACACGGGTCTTTCAAAATGAGATTTGTTTTCAGCTACATTGAATAATTGATACCCTTATCGCGACAATCATCATGACTCTTAATATATATACAAATTATTATTATATTAGTAAATTAATTATGTATTGGTGCATATATTTTGTGACCGAACTGTTATGTACCACGTGCTTAAAGACAACACTGTTTATAGAATTACACTTAGAACATTTCCTTAACTATCCGATATATACAGGTTTAGTAATATGTGAAACTTGTGTTTCAGTGTTCTGCGGTACTTAAATTGTGCAAATGATTCATTGTGATGTGTTTGTAATCCGAACGTTTGTTGTAAAATCTACGGGCAAATTTTCACGTTCCACAAATTCCACTTGTCATTCATATGTTTCCAGACCCCAGTTCATGATGTTGCTCCGTTATACACCCGTATGTATAACCATTAACATTACTCACATTAATGCGAAATACGTTCTTAATTATTTGTAGTCTTACAAGTATTTTTCACAAATACTTCAGAATAATTGCACCGAAATCAAATTGTCTATTCAGTAGCGGCCCGCCCTTTCTTAAAACTGTTTCAAGGGCTTAACATTTTTAAATTCCGTCGCTGCCTCTTTGGCCTAGTGCTCAGAGTTCCTGCCTACAGATCCAGAGGTCTCGGGTTCGATTCCCGGCGCTATAACATTTCTGAGAAGTATTGGGTCTGCAACGGCGTTTACACAGCCTCGTGGGCATAATTTAGGAGCTATTTCAAGGATATAGCGGCTCCGGTCTAGAAAACCGAGATTAAAGTCCGTGAGGATCAGTTGCGCTGACCACGCGACACCCTCGATCCGCTAAAGTTGCCACTAGCTTCGCTAACAAGCTGCGGTCGCTCGGTCGGTACAGTTCGTTTGCGGACTACAGACCACGGAGTTTCCTTCTTTCTTTTCTCCAATAGTGAATACGTTTCAATTTCAGTGGTTTAGATATAATGGAAGTTCTCTTGGTAAACATTTGCAAAGGGCTCATATATCACAGGTTGGAGTTTAGGTTTTCAAGGCAGTAGTTATGAAGTGTACTTACTGTCTTCAGCTCCCACCTTCATGATCGAAGAATAAGCCAAAAGAAGCGCGCCTATAGCCAGTGTCGGTGAAATTCTACGTGACCTTACGGCCTCACATCAGAGAATACAGGGTTCCTCATAACCACTAGTCGGCTGCTAGACGTTATTTCTTTTTTGGTTTCAGAACTGGGGACTTCAAATCAAATACGTTCAGCCGCGTGACGCTGGGTGGTATGAGTGTCAGGTGTCCACACACCCTCCAGCAAGTATATTTGTGGAGCTCAAAGTTATTGGTGAGTACATGCTTTCCACAAAACAGTACAGTGTTATCTTTTTCTGAAGTGTACGCACACATAACATATATTACAAATATAAACACTGCCTAATCAAAGGATTTACTCATTGATTCTAAGTTACTTGACGACTCGAAGGTGGCCATAAATTCTGATTTGTTTATTTATTTGGTTCATTTAACGGTTCTAACAAAGGCTCAGACTATGCAGCATAAAATGAGAGGATTATTAACGAAAAACGAATAGAAGCAGACGTGAACGGAAGCGTAGTGTCTTATGTAAGCATGAATCCTTAATTTTCTGAGTGGGAGAGAGAAACGAGAAAACCTCGTCAGGATTCCCATCGTCGTGGAGCGATTTGAAAGGGGAACCCTTCAAACAGAAATCACTAGATCAACCCACTCGACAGTGATGTTCTGCCTAAATTTTCAGTACTGGGGTATAACGTTGTGTAGCTCGCTGAAAGTCGTCCGACGTTTCGGAGGAAACATAGCTTCAAGCCCCAGTGTCGACTAATAAGTCAGACAACAAACCAGCGTGAAGCACGTAGCAACCAAAGCATACTTCATGCTGGTTTTCTGTTTGGCTTTTCAGTCGACTCTGAAGATGAAGCCGATACTTGCCTCCGTAACGTCAGTTGACTTTCAGCGGACTACACGGTGTGTAGACAGAACTCTTCGTAACACCGCTGTGGGAACCTCAAATCCTACATGATGAGTAACAGTTGAATATCAAAGAGGCGGTCTTCTTATAAACTATGCTGGAATTTATCTTCGGGTACTGAAGAAAATCGCTAAGACTCCGAGTCATACTATCACATACCCCTACCGAGATATCAACCGGAATTATGCGGAATGAAAATCTGACGAGGAGTTACGCTTTTGATCCTCAAACAACAATATGATCTTAGTCATCATATAAACAATAATGATTTTGTGATCCACAAAGATTCTACAGATTGAAATGTACTTCTATAATATCTCAAAGTGCAACGAGGGTTACAGCTCACATCCTTCAATATAATCATAATATCAACACTAATGACCTTGTGAGCCAAAATGACCCTACAAATGACATCGTTTGACCTCGAAGTATGAGAACACTTCCACTTTAAATAAGCAATATGCCTTATTATCACATCAACAATAATGTCTTTACGTACTTAATTAGCCATAAGAACTACAGTGAAAGAATTTTGGAGATATTAAGGGATTATAGTGACATATTTCAAACTCGTAATCCAAACAAATCACTTTCATTGGCTATCAGACTGTTGGTTTCTAGAAAGACTCTTAAACTACTGACTTCAAAGAAAGCGGGATATACTATGAAGACCAAAAATACGGTAGCCTGAACAGGTTCTTTAACATCCTAATGATTCCAAAGGGCTTAAATTCACAAGGAAATAGAAGAAGTGGAAGAAAATAACACACTCAAAGTTAATAACCGTACGAGATTACAAGCCACAGTGTCGAATATTTAAATTTTTAATACAAAACAAAGAAGAAAATGGCCACAAACTTTCCATCCTGCACCGGGAAAAGAAAGTTATTGGTTTAGATATATTCAGAAATACAGGACTTTTGGCTCTAATGCTGGAACAGCTATTAATCATCAGCTTCTTCATTCCCACCTTCCGCGCTGTCGACTTTCTCGGCTGTTCTTGGCTCCAGATCCTCGTTTATTTTAATATTCACGTTATTTGGCCTACAGGTGCTGCATGTGTTTATGATGTATTTCTTTCCACAGAGAAAGTCACATGTGCACTGTCAAGAAACGCGCTGGCACAACTCCCACGAATCGATTCTATTATAACCCGCAGAACTGTGTTGCGATGCCTGACATTTGGGAGCACGCAGTTCGTATATTTATCTCCAGATGTCAATATCTGACGGCTCCATAAACGGGTATCGTATCTGCAGTCACGAGAATATATAAACACGTTACATGGAATGAAGATGAAGACAAGATGAAATTTTATGTACGAGTATTAATAAACTGTACTGATTTTCTATTCCTAGAAATCATACATTAATTCAAAGGTTCCGCGGCAGCCCGGGTTCGATCACGGGTCTGGTCAAGTGGGATTTGTAGTGGACAAAGTGGCGCTGGGGCAGGTTTTCTCCGAGTACTTCGGTTTCCGCTGCCAATCTTCATTCCACCAATTGCTCCACAGTCACCCTCATCTATCATCTGGGGCTGGTACAATAGGCCAGAAGTGGCCCCAGTGCAAGGGACTTAGTCCCCACTAGCATTAAAAGAAATAATTCAAAGGTTTGAAAACAAATGCCCAGATATGTGAGAATATGTCTGTATAGCTGTAATAAAGCTGTCATCAAAGAAATAACCAATTCAGCCTTCCACGTGAAGAACTTCGCAGTTCTCAATACAGCTGTCACTAGAACAGGTAAGTACATATAAGTCGCGGAGTTGAGAGTCTCGGTTCCTGCCGTATAAGCTCGGGTACGAGTGTAGGGTGGCAGCGAATATAAGGCGACTCCCTATTACTTCAATGAGAAAATCAGAATAAAAATGAATTTGAAAAAAAAATACGTCATTTAGTTTTGAAGGACGTAAGCGTAAAGAAATTCATGTTTATTTTTAATGACCCGAAAACAAGGTAACTCTTTTTTCCACCGATCAGTGTTTAGAAATTCACCTTGCTTTTATTTTGGCTAATACGATGTTCACCTTACTAGGGATCACGACCACTAGAAGAGTGGCTTACGACACAAGGCGGAATGCTTCTCGTGTGCTACTGATAGTTGGAACCAGTCACACTGAATATTATATTGGATTAATACTTCCGGTGCTAATAACTTGATCCACCTCTTTCAAATCTTTCCTCCTTCCCAATATATATTTTGTGCTAGCGAAAAATAATCCATGTTGCCGTCTCCTGGTAACTTTACCAAACAATTCAGTGTCCCTTGAAGTGAAGTTGTAGACTACCAGTGAGATATAAAACAGAACAGAAAAATCAACACTGAATTGTCTAAAAAGTGCATTGAAGAACAGTGTAATGCTAATGCACAGACGGCTGGTCTTGGCAGGCGGCAACTGGTCCTGCTGTAGTGATTGTGTTCGCCGATTCTTCGAGCGAAAGGATAACTAAAATTGTAAAATAAAAATATATAGTTTATTTTTAACAACTTCAGGCCCGCAAACAGAAAATATTTTAAATGAGATGGGAAGTTAAAATTTGTTCCTACGGTTTATGCAATGGCCGGCAGATGACACTTGGAGATTGAAATAGACGGAGAACAGTTTATGCAATATACGTATTATCACGTGTATGTGTGTGTGTGAGTATAGAAGGAGCTGGACTGGAGATTGGATTTACTGACCACTTTAACACAAGAGTCGTGAGTACGCTTAATTAGAGCGTCATCGATAATCCACACACTTAACATATCGCTAGAGCACACAGACTAATGTTCGCAGTCTGTTACATTCTCTACTAGTTGTTCCATGGTAACGGCTTCTAACAGTGGTGATTCTTTAGCTTCCGCGCTCACTTCATTGCCCGCTGGCTCCCAAACTGTGCCTACTAAGTCTTCTCTTCACAGACTTTCTTACAACTGACTAACTTCTAAATTTGTGTCGGTTATAACACCTTGGCACGGACTGCCCAGAAAACTCCGTTTTCGACAGTCCCTCTGTTGCTGCGCGCGCGGACTCTTTGCCGTTGGAACGTGTTGGTTTGCGAAGGCTTTACTCAGTAACGGCTGCATATATTTGCTTATTACGAATCTGTTGTCTAGTAGCGGTTGTTGTTTCGTTGTTTGTTTCGCGGTCGTTTGCCAGTAACGGGTCTGCAAGCTAAAATACGAAAAACAAGATAAAATTATGAACCTGTATTTTAGTCTTTACGCAAAAATACAGTTGAAAAATGTTACTACGTGTATCTTCCGGGTTATGACGTTCTCTACATATATCGTTTCGGAGGAATCAGTTGCCTCTCTGTCTTTGGATTGGATAGTAAACACTGAAGGTAATAGAAGTAACACAATTACGTGAGAGAACAAGAACTGGAGCTCCAGAATTTGATGGCCCTTCGAGTCCCAGCATAGAAATGTTGGCATTTTTAAGGCTCACGTCTTCCTTTGCCCCGTTCGGTTCCTGTCCTCTCTTCCTTATATACTGTCGCGTGTTTGCTAGGCAAAGCGACAAGAAATTGTGTGGGTCTCGGATTTGGACAAATATTTATTGGACAATCACTCTTTACACTCACAAATACAACTATTAACACTTGTAACGTCTTCGGACGTTTCCTCTTCAATTTTATACAGTCCCGCACCGCTATTCTCGGTGAATTGTCTTCTGCTCGGAGCTCAACTGTCCTCACATCTCGTCGGATACGAAACTAACTTCTGCTCTAGCCGGATACAAACTGTTATATCCTGCACTCGGACTGAATGGGAATACCTTGTCGAAGGGTTAATTTCGCCCGCTGCTATGCAACTGCCTCTTGTTGCCGCGGGAATACGTGTTTACCTCACACAATTCGTTTGTAACGGTGGAAACCCCACTCTTAGGCTTTCATCTCCGGGGAAACGATTTCCTAGGCATCGCTGCCTAGGAATTGCTAGCCGTTGACTAGTGATGGACGTCTTATAGTCCTGCTTTCAGGCAGCACGTCACATTATGTGCCTTCCCATTCCCACGGAATTAATTCTTCAACCCTGATGGTGGAGTCAGCAGACACTCCAAAACTTTGGTACCTACTTACCCGTCTACACGAAGCCACGTTCCAGGAGAAAATGAATCGCAACGTGGACCGCTGAGAGAACATTATATCACATCAGTCTGCTTTCACCTGTTCTCACTCTCTCTTCGTTTACGGATTTTCTTATTTTTCCTTCTACCCTGAAGATGGAGGCGATACGTTCCTCAAAAACGTCGATTAACACCACATCTACACGGTACCACATCCCAAAGCACTGCTTTCTTCATTATATCACACATGCCTGCCAAAGTGGGCCACTTGGAAAATCCGA